CCCTCCTCTCCTCTCTCTCTCTCTCTCTCTCCTCTCTCTCTCTCTCTCTATTTCATTCTCTTTCTTTCTTGTGTGTGTGTCTCACTCTATCTGGCAGTGTTTCTGCTTTGATAGATGTCAACCGTAAACCGGCTTCGGTGCCTGGAGAAGCTTGGCGAGGGTACCTACGGAGTTGTGTTTAAGGCCAAGGAGAACGCCACGGGGCATATAGTGGCGGTGAAGCGCATGGTGATCAGCGGGGATGACGAGGGTGCGCCCGCCACCGCCATTCGCGAGGTGTGTCTGTTGAAGGAGCTCAAGCACAACAACATCGTCGCGCTGCGTGATGTGCTCTTTGATCCGCCTAAAGTGACGCTCATCTTTGAGTACTGCCAGTACGACCTCAAGAAGTACATGGAGCAGCACGGCAACAGGAAGAAGGTCACAGTGCTGCAGGAGACACAACAGATCATGAAGCAGATGCTCCTAGGGCTGCGCTACATGCACCGCCGCCACGTGGTGCACCGTGACCTGAAGCCGGAGAACATATTTATCAACATCGACCGTGCCGCAGAGGGCACAGGCAACGTTGCGGTGGAGGCCGCTGCAGCACCTGCGCTAGAGAAGGGGGCAACTTCGCCACCTGCCCAGGCGGAAGTGTGTGGAAGCGGCGGCAAACAACTGGCAACAGACAGTGGTGCCAATAACGCCGCGGACGCTAGTGACGCTGCGCAGTTAATTGTGAAGCTGGGCGACTTTGGGCTGGCGCGGGTGGAGAACATTCCGGTGAAAAAGTACTCCCACGACGTGGTCTCGCTCTGGTACCGTGGCCCCGACGTGATGATGGGGACGGCCCTCTACGGCTTTGCCGTTGATATGTGGTCTGTCGGCTGCATCTTTGCCGAGATGATCACGCAAAAGCCGCTGCTAAACGGCCGCACCGAAGTCGAGCAACTTCTGAAAATTTTTTGCCTTCTTGGCACACCCACCCTGGAGACGTGGCCCTCGCTGCCGAGCTACCCAAAGTGCAGGCAGATGATTGACGCAATGACCAAACTGGCGCGCGAGCGACTCGTAGCAGTGGGCCCGAATGCCAAGGAACAACAACAACAGCAGCAGCAAACCAAGGGGAGCCAAGCGGTGCAGCGGTGCAAGGAGCACCCATGCGGCGTCGAGCGTCGTGGCGGCGACATTTTCGTGACGGGGCAACATCTCAGGCGACCGTTCAATAGCGCCAACAGCTCCAACAGTAGCGGTTTTCAGGAGCTGCTTCGAAATGATTATAATTTCCCTCCCGAGTTGTGTTTTCGGCGCACTCTTGACGACTACCTGGAGAAGTCGCGCTTTCGCGAGATCGCTGGCGAGGAGGGGATAGACCTGCTGCGAAAGCTGCTGTGCTACGAGCCGTCGTACCGCCTGACCGCCCACGAGGCGCTGTTGCACCCGTTCCTGAAGAATGTGAAGGCGCCAGTGCAGCGCAAGGTAGACATGATGTGTGCGATGCTGAGACAAACGCTAGAGGAGCATCGACTGCTGGATGTCTGTGGCGTGGAGTAACGAATACCCCGCCCGTGCGACGACAGGCACCAACAATAATGAACGGACATCAATTGGTTAACCAATGCCCCCACTTCTCTCTCTGTATGTGAATGGGGTCCGGTGTGCCGCCGGTGGTACGAAGACGACGATCTCCACTTGTTTCTGCGTTGCTGCGCAACTCACACACGGTGTAGGTGCCTCTCCCTTTCTCCACGCAGATGTGTATATATATATATCTGCTTGTGGTGTACGTATGTATAACGTTTTTTCTGTTTTCTGTATTTTGCTCCGTATGGGCTTCTTCACGCAACCATGAACTCCTCCGAATTTTGGGAAAAAGGAAACCAAAAACAAACGAAAAAACGAACAAACAAAGAACAAGAAGAGGAAATGACCTCACGTGTAGATCAAAGGGAATATGAAAAATGAAAGAGAAACGAATTATTTTTGGGTAGGAGGAATGTTTTATTTGTTCGCACCATCATGGCTACTACGGCAACGCGTATGCGCATTTTTGTTTTGCTGAGGCGATGTGTGTGTGCGTGTCTTTTGAAGCATCACGACTACTGACAGTTCCGTTCAAAGCAACGGCCTGTCGTCATAAGTCTCTCCTCCATGGGTCTTTTCTCTCTCTCTCTCTCTCTTTCTTACGCCATGTGTGTGTGTCTATTTGTTTATCTTTCTAGGTATGTGTGTGTGTGTGTGTGTGCAGTTGGTTTTAGCCCTCTCTCCTCCTCTCGTTTTTCCCCGCCACAGGCATGGCGGCAAGGCGGGTTGGGGAGGTGGGGGTGGAGGTGGAGGAAGCAGCGGCGCCCCAATTCCCTCCTCTTGTTCCAGGTCCTAGTTTTTGTTTTAGTTTTTGGATTTTTGTTTTCTTCGTGTTGTTGTTGTTGTTTTTTTTTTTGTGTGTGTGTGTGTTTGTTCGTTGCCTCCGCCATCACCAATCCTCCGCCTCTTCCAGGTGCGCAGGGGGGAGGGTGGCGTGTGTGGTGCCGGCGTAGGTGTCATGGACCCCGGTCCCCAGCCCAACACGGTTTGGGTTGGTTTGTGAGTTGCTTTTGACGATGTTGTTGTTGTTGTTTTCGGCTGCGTGTCTGCCCGCGCGACGTTGGCGCACCCCCGCCGGGCCATGCACTCTTTTTTCCTCTCGCTCTTTCTTTCTCTCTCACACACGCGTCGCATGCGTCCACGGCGCGGCGGGGAGCGCAACGCAGACAACCAGGCAACAGCGAAAGGAAAAGGCACGTGACGTCGGCCAACGCGAAAGCAGCACGGCGAGCGAGGGTTGGGGGAAGAAGCTTCGAGGCGCAGTTTAACTGACAGACGCACGGTTGCCAGTCCGCCTTGCACGTGTTGGGTTCACACCGTTGCGCGTGAACGCGGCGCTGAGGACACGCACGGAGGAGGAAAAAAAAAAAGAGGGAGAAGAGCTAAACTACCGAAAGAGAGAGAGGGGGGTGGGTGGGGAACGAGCGAGGCGAAGAACAGCAAAGACAGAGAAGAGGGCACGGAGTGTGCCAACTCCTTTCAGCTTTGGGTACCGAACGGCGTCTTTTTTTTTTTTTTTGAAGCGAGGAAGGGAGGGGAACACCGACGAAAGGAAGCGGCTTTTTGTTGTTGTTGTTATTGGCGTACGCGGGGAGCGGAGGTGCAGCAATACATCAACAGCAGGGGGTGGTGGCTTAAATGCGGGAGCGCCGATATTCCCGCTGCCGGAATTTGCGTCCACTGAAGCGCCGCCTATGGCTGCACTATGGAAAGCACCGGAAGGCGTGCACTCTGCTTCTGCTGCTGCTGATTCAGGTATTGGGCTTCCTCGCGTACGAGTTGTCCGCGAAGAACGTGAGGTACACGAGGACTGGCCCCGCTATGGACAGTAATGGGGCGCAAATCATATTTTTTGGTGAAACTCAGCCACGTGACGCGGCGGCGCTCGGGGGTCTGACCACCGCCGTGCGGAAGTACACCCCCGCAGAGCTAGAGGCCGAGTACGGGGACATGGACTTCATCTACACCTTTGTGAATGGCACGGAGCGCGATCACGCCTTTCGCCGCCTGCTATATCATAGGTGCCTGAATGAGATTATGCACGCGGAGGAGGTCTTTTACACGCGTCGCAAAGTATTGGTGCTGCCGTGTACCAAGCGGGGTTTTTTTCCCCGCGCGGAAACTGTTCGAGGGCTGTTAAAAAAAATGGGAGGCGCCGCCGCCAGGGCACCCTCTGCTCGCGACCGCGAACGTGACGAGCTGCGGTATAGCATCCGAAGTGTGGAGCAGCACATCCGGTGGCACCGCGGGCGCCTGATCATTGTCTCCCCCGGTCACTATCCCAGCTGGGTGGATCAGGCGAAGAACTTCATGTGGAGTGCCCTCACGTCCAACCTGGGGCCCCACATGCGGGGCCGGCACGCCCGCATCACCACAGTGCACCAGGATGCACTGATGCCGTACGGCATGCGTCTCACCGTGGACTCGCACACCATTGAGATGCAGCTCTTTCGCGTGCGCAACATCACACCCATTCATCTCTTTCTTAACGACGACTACTTCATCAACGGTGAGGTGGAGGTAAACCACCTGCTCAACGAAAACGGCGGCACCTACGTGCGCACAGAGCACGGCATGCTGCAGAAGGCGGTCAACGGCGCGAATGGAACATCCTGGAGCGACGGGGTGCGGCACACAAACCTCTTCAACACGATGGAGCTTGATATCCACAAGGAGGATCACCTACCGCACAATATTCTCGAACGCTGGCAGGCGGCAGGGTACGACCCTGCGTACAACATTCCGGTTGCCTCTGGAGATCAGCTTATCCACACCGCGCGTGACCATCCGCCGAACACGCTCCCCAAGAAAGCCACGCCGCAACGACCACGTTTTTATGCCACACACGCACCGTTTGTGTATTGTACGCGGATGTTTGAGTTTCTCAACACGAGGTACGAGCTGGAGATTGCCCACAACACCCTGCAGCACCGCGGACGGATGGCGCGTGACCTCTTCACGCCCTTTGTATACAACGCCTTTATCATGGCCCGCCCGTGGCAGTCCTCGCCGCGGTTCCTGCCGTACCTCACCGCACTGCAGTTGAACCGGATGAAGAATTTAGGGGTCCCCAAACCGCCGCCGCTGCATATTCTCCTGGACAACAAGGATGCCTGCGCCCCCGCCACGCTACTGCGACAACCGGCATCAGAAGCCATGTATGCAAAGTTCGTAGACAACTTGGAGAAGAACAAACGTGTCATTCACTCACTGGAGATGAATAAACCGCTTTTTTTCAACATTAACGACGAGTTCCGCGAGGTGAACAGCAGCTTGCAGCTTCAGGTATTCCTTGCCAGCGTCTTTCAAAAGCCGGCGCTCCTTGAACGCACCGCCGCTGAGACAAACGACAGCGCCCCGTATTTTACCGCATTTCAGGAACTTATGAAACTTCCCCTAGTCATCTTTGCCTCATACAGGGAAGCGCTCTGTCCCCTTATCCGCAGCCTAAAGCTTGCCATGCCGCAGTTTACCGGCCAGGTGATACTGGTGCTAGAAGAGGGCACAGCGGAGGAAAACAAGGATAATCTTGAGACGATGCGACAACGGCTAAATCATAGGGTAATAAGTGCAATGCCTGTGGTGCTGTGTACGTTTAGCGGGAATGTGAAAGAAGTCACCGTGTCCCCCAAGCTACAGATCAGTGAGGCGGTGCAACAGGCCCTTGGCACCGTACCGAACTCCACCAAAACACCTGTGCTGCTGCCAGAGGACTACATTGGTGGTAGTCAGGTGAAGGTGGCTGCGCTTGCTATTGATGCCCGTACAAGACACCTTCTTGACAGCGTTGCGGCGCTCACGCGGGCCATTGAGGTGCCGGCTCAGTCTTTGGCACTTGAGGACTTTGAGCTTGCAGCTCCGACGGATTCAAATGGCTCCGTTTTGGTGCTCTCACGCGAAGACGCAAAGCGGAAGGCGATACACTGGGTGAACGGCGCCTCGGAAACGGACCTGTTGATCACCTTTCCGCTGCCGTATGCGCGTTATGAAGACCTCGACGCACCCATAACGTGGTCTTTTAGAAAATAATAGTAGGTGATGCGGATCGTCTGCTCTCAAGTTCTTGGCATACGACGCACACACAAGCACACACACGCCCGGTGGCACCTTGTTGCCTCCACACACCAGATAATTTACCACCTTTTCCACTCCTCCGCGACGATGGGGCTGAGCGAAGCCGACGGCAGATGAGAGATTGAGCCGTGCTTTGCTACTGTGGGAGGTGTATTTAATTATGTATGAAAGTAAAAAAAAACGATAAAAAAAAACAAGCAAAAAAAAGAAAAAAAAGGAAGAAGTGGGGGGGGGGGGGAAAGTCGCTGAAGATGTCATGCATGGGGCGCGCACTAACTCTCTTTGGACCGTCGTTCCTGGTTCTGATGATACACAATTTCTACTTGTGTGGCCTCTTCTCATCCACGCTTATTTGCACCCTCTGCCTTGTAGCTTGTGTGCCTCCACATCCTTGCGTTAGTGAAAAGGAATGGGGTCCACAGAGGCGGCGGTGCTGTGAGGATTGATCGAATAGACATCGTAGTGTGCCTCGGACAGGTGCCGTGGCTGTAAAAATCCGGTGTGAATAAATATATTGTTTTTTCTTTTTTTGTTTTGTGTTCCCTCACTTTTTTTTCTTTCTTTTTCCTCGAGCGTGTGTGCGTGTGTGTTTTGTTGCTGTTGTTGTTGTTGTGCCGGATGACGAACGCCTCGTCACATTCATCCCCGTCACTTGCAGACGCTCCCGCCAGTGCTTTCTGGGCATCGCCGCCGTTCATGTCTCTCCCCGTTTTGGTCTCCTTGCGGCTGTTTCTCTCCTCACGCGCCTCACCGCCATCTCGTTTGAAAGGAGGCGAGCTGAACCACCACCACCGCCATTAGCAACACCAACAAGAGGAAAGGAAGGAAATAAGAAAGAAAACATTCAAGCAGGAAAAAAAATGTCACAGGGAGATCAACCCGCTGCAGCTGCAAGCGGAGGGAAGGTGACCTTTCGCGTTATTCTTACCTCCGAGCGAAGTCAGCCATTTCGCGTCATCAGCATTGCGGAGGAGGCGCCGCTCACCGCTGTGCTGCGCTTCGCCGCGGAGGAGTTTGGCATCGCCTCGGTAGACTCCATGGCAGCAACAACGAAGGACGGCACCGGCATCAACCCGGCACAGACAGCGGGGAATGTCTTTATGAAGTACGGGCAGGAAATACGTCTCATTCCGCGTGATCGTGTAGGAAATATATAACATTTTTTTTTTTGTTTTGCCTGTCTGTAAACTCTTCTGCTCCTCGGCCCATATAAATATTTGTATATATAATATATACCTGTGGAATGCAACGGAGGCATTTCAGAGTTCACATATCTTTGGGTGGCGGCAATGGTAATGCGCGTGCCTTCTTCTTTCGTTGTTTGGTCTCTGCGCTACCACGCGACTTTTCGGCCATCATCTCCGTGCGGAGCCGCACACAAGAAAGGCAGCAACGCCGCTTGCGTGCGTGACCTCCTCTGTTTGCACGGCGCATTTTTGTTCTTCTCCTTTGACTTTTTTTTTTGTTTTGTCTTCTTTCTTTGACTGCAAAATGATGCGCAGATACCAATCCCACCTGTGGTGGAACAACGCGTCCGTTGCATTTACGCGTGTGTATTTGGTTTTAGGTTGTACCTTGTTGCGATCAACGTCCACGGGTGTCTTCTTTGCCCCAGGTAAGTATATCTTGTACTATATACACAATATTGCAGCGGGAACATGGAGCTCTCCCCGAAGTGGGCCCAATCGGTTGTTGTGCGCTCGGACGGCGGCACGATTGTGGGACCGCAGCAGCATGGATCTTTGGTCGCCTACGCATACGCCGCCGCGGGCTGTCCCATCATTATCCGCCCCCGCGATCCCCGCGTCTTCACCGCCGCCTCCGCGCCCTCCTCTGAGGGGAGGGAATCTGCCACGGGGCATGGGGACGAAGGCGGGTATAACGACCACCAGGCCGCTGCTGGTCAGGCCTCGCTGCTGACGTCGCTCATCACCGGAACTGACGTGGCGGGGACGTTTTGGGTCCCTGACACGAAGCGAAACGAGGTGGGCCTGCTGGAGGCCATGCACCGCCGCACGGCGGCGAATCGCACGCATGTGCTGCTTCACAGTCGGCCTCTCCCGGAGCTGCAGTTTAACTTCTCCACCTGCCAGGGCGATAACATTGACCTCTCCCACGACGCGTTCCGTCTCTCCAAGACATCCATGGCGATTTTGCAGATCGAACGCAAGCTGTTGGACGGCAGCGAAATCGTTGTGCGCTCCGAACCTGACGCTGGCGGGGGTGGGAAATTTGGCCGCACAGATAGTGATGAGAGACGGCAGCCGTATTATCCTTCCAACGTGCCGGCCAGTATTTCTGGTAAGGCCTTCAAGGATCAGCTGCGGCACGGGCTACGCGCCATTCAAGAGGAGGAGTACTATCTCGTACGATACCGCGACTACAGTGCGTGGGCAGTCCGATACTACGCCGACATTGCAAAGAAGGATCACTTTTGGGGCAATAAGTACGTGGAGCAATGCTTCGCAGTTCATGTTGGGAAGGAACCTGGGGAGCTGATTCCCATCACGGAGGCGCAGTTCCTCTTTGGTGTAGAGATGCTGCAGCGACAGATGCTCCAACAGATTGGCATGGGCGCCACTGTGGACATCAACTACTCGGCACTGAGCAAAGATCAGTTCCGTTCGCTAGGGGTCCTCCTAGGGGATGGAATGCGGGAGGTAGGCGTAGAAGGGGAGGAACTTCGCCGTCGCCAGGAGGCGGCGCGAGAAGAGGAAGAAAAACGACGAGCTACAAATTTTAATTCTGGCGCGTACGAGCCACCGAGTATATGGGACTGGAGCCCAGCCGCGATAAGGAAACGCATCGACCACCAGCTGCAGCGACACTACCAGGCACTTGGGCGCCTCGTGGTGCGTGGTGTGGTGTTGGGTGTGGGTGCGTACGTGGCATGGTCGTACATCAGGCGCGCTCTTCCAAGCGACGACGACGGCGCCAACCGCCGGGGGCAAAGAAGAAACCGCTGGAGCGGCCGGGGTGGCAGCTACGCGGACGACGACGCGAAGTTTGCCCCCAAGGGCTTCCTGCGTAGCGTCGTGCTGGGCCCGAAGGAGGTCTTTGACTACCTGCTTGCACCCACTGGCGGCAATTGAGCCTGAAGGCGGATGCCCCTGTATCTCATTGCGGTGAAAGGTCGTTTGCGACGCGTCTTTTTTTTTTTTTTGTACGCGGCGTGGTTGCATCGAACTCGCCATCTCGCTCTCCCTCTGCGCGTCGTTTGGTTCTTCGCGTTCCCCTTTCCTACTAGCAAGACCTCCCCCATGCGGAGACGAGACGGGCCGTGCTGCACACACCCCGCGTTTCCTACAGGCGGGAGCCTCCATGTTTTTTTGTTTTGTTATGGTGGCGTGCGCGGAGGCAGGCCGGAAGGGAACATGTAAGCTTTTTTCTCTTTTTTCCGCCACCGAAGGCGCGTGCCGTGGTGATGGCCCCCCGCGCCGTGCCGCACATGTGTTTCTTTCTTGCCTTCCTTTTTGCTTTCCCGCTCTGCCTGTCTTCTTTCACGCGCCCTCGCGGGTCTCGCCGCCGAAGCAGGCAATTGCTACAAGGAGGCAATGCGCGCAAACACTGCAG